GGATCCACAAAACCACATTGTTTTAAATCAATTTAGCGTCAAAATGAATGACTTTTCAACACTTTATTTCCATACAACCATATGTATTCCTGATGAAAATAAAATGATAAGAATTTTTAACATCATAGGCAACAACTGCTTCTTCAGTAAAAATGGAACTCTGGACTATTTATACTTTGTGATTTCGTCATCTATAAATTATATTGTTAGAGATCATTCTGATTCTACACACTCTGGTCAAATTGTCGTTAAAAATAATGCTGAAGTTTGGTTTTTTTTTTGTTGATAATATCTATGTAGTCTTTAAAGAGCAGGTCTACCAATATTCTATTTGAATTTTGAGTGGGTACAAATTTTGTTTCCTTATAAGCCGACCTGTTTTATGAAGTAAATTTATTCACAAACTTTCAAATGGGTAGAAGACGACTTATGGATAATTTACATATACTGACGAAATTTTATCATTACATATTTTCATTCACATGTTGCCGCTTTATATCCTTCTTAACTCGATATAAAATACATCACGGAGTTTGTCACATCTGTTTCATATTTGGATATCTTACTGAATATAATGGCAAACTATCAACTAAAATGCATGACAAAAAGGATTGATTAAGCTTTTCTTTATTTATGTAACAATATCATAATATCACCCGCATATGGTATTTATATCTAGATCTCCCAACTGACTCAGAAATAGCATGTAAATAATATACGGTACCAATTTTGATGCACCAGATGTGCATTTGGACAAATTATGTCTCTTCAGTGATGCTTAAGCCAAAACGTTGGAAATCCAAAATATTTGATTAAAGATACTTTGAAGAGATAAATAAAGATGGTGCCAAATACTGTAGCCAAATACGTCGAAGGATCTAAGCCTTGCAAGAGGAAGATAATCCTTAATTTTGAAATAATAATTTTTTTTTAATTTTACCACAGCAATTAAATATATATCCGTATTTTCAAACTAATACCGAAGTACTTAGCTACTGGGCTGTAAAGACCCCCGGTGACTAACAGTCCACCAGCAGAGGCCTCGACCCATGGGTCATAATGTAAATAATATACGGTACCAATTAGAATTCAATAGCATGTTCTGATTACGATAATGCAGACTACTGACAAATGTTAATGTTACAGGGTTTTCAACAGACTCCTTCAAAGTCAGGATGTTACAAATTCCGTGGTCCTCATAATGAGTTTGTTTCTAAATGTAACTATCTAATCATGTTTATAAAAATTGTCAAACGATTGGTTTTTGATTTCAAACTTATTTTCACTACACCTTTCTCTGTTTACCTAATCAATAAAAGGGTCACGGCTAGTGTGTCAGATCAAACGAGGATCCTTTTTAGCATGTTCACAATCATATATGTGTCTAATTTAACATGGGCTCATAGAAGTATTGTGTAAATATGATTACATATATGATGTGTATGATGAAGTAATAGAGTAATATAATGTCCACAACCTGTGCATTTAATTGATTTTCTAACGAATAAATTTATACAACGAACTAAACATTCGCTTAGCAAGCGCATATATACTTTATTATAACAGTGTGTATATCGAACAAATGAAATACGCCTGATTTTTTTTTTCATTTTACAGGAAAAAAATTTCCATACCTATAAAGTAAGTATAATGTTAAGAAAAAATTGTTGCTATTGTAAGGGAGCAAGCAATATCGTTTGATTCCGGATCTGAGCTAGTGTCTGTTTGTTTATTGTTTAACGTCCCTCTCGAGAATTTTTTCACTCTCGAGTGAAGACGCCACCACTTGGAGAGATTCAAATTTTGACCTATACTCGGCACTCAGGGCCATTGAGCAGTGAGGGATCTTTTTCGTACCAGCATCTACTAAGACACGGGACCTCGGTTTATATGGTCTCATCCGAAGGACCGGTCTCCACGTCCCACAGTGGGACTGGAACCTGCGAGATAAGGATCATCTCCTTACTCCGCGACTCTAGAGCGAACGCTCTAACCACTGCGCCACGTGGGCGACTCCGAGCTGGTGAAAACATTGAATGTATTATATTTTATGACTGTTTTAATATTTATTCGAAATCTCCCTTGACAGTAGCTATGGGATATTTTGAGATATTTACAGTTGTGAACCTGTCTCGTGTATATGTGTATATTAATAATCAAAAAATATACGTTTTGATTATTAATAATCAAAACATAATCGTTACAGAATTTTCATATGTTGATTTAATATACATACATGTACCTACATGTACCTATTATTTTAGAAATTTCAAAGTGTTTTTATCGTATTACACAACTGAATTCTTGTTGAAAAATATACCAAATAGTACATGCATGAAAACGAAAATTCATGAATAGTACACTAATATAAATCTTGGGTGTTTTTGTTTTGTTTTTTTGTTTGTTTGTTTGTTTGTTTGTTGTTTTTTTTTGTAGCCATGCATTTTAGTATTGTGTGTACATTCGTGGTATCTATTGCAATGCTGGGACTCCAGATAGAAGGCAAGTGAAACATTTTACACGTCATTCATGCCTACTTTGTATGCAATACTGATGTTAAATTAGTATCTTATCATGTTCAATCTAGCTTTTAAAACTACTTCTCTTAGGTTTTTGTTCCTGCTAAAGTATGCCAGTTAGAAATCCTTGTACTTAGTTTTTATATGATCATGATTCTGAATTTCTTGCTTATTTTGAAACATAGATACACTTGTTTGGTTTTGTAATAAAGCTGTTAACATGGCTTTGTCCATATATTCACAGTATGAGCCTATCACTGAGGATGTATACATGTATGATTTAATTTACTTTGAACCAGAAGGTTTCTTATCAAACCTAGTCTTAAGATGTTCAAACTAAAGAAATTACAAAGCACATTGGAAAGTTGATGCCAGTCTTTTTTAATTATTTGATTGCTTTTAATCTGCAGATAGAAAAATTCAGAATTTTTCATGTTCATTAAACATACAATATATATATATATATATATATATATATATATATATATATATATATATATATATATATATATATATATATATATATATATATATATATATATATATATATATATATATATATATATCAAAGTAATCAGAAAAAGTCATGGTTAAGGTCAATTTTTAATAATGAAAAAAACACGGACAGGCATCTGAATTTTTTTTAATATAATTAACAATGGAATATGGAGATTTAAGTATTCAAGTTCAAAATCCATTTAAATAATACAAATCGGGAGCAGAGCAAACACGGACCTCCAGAAACATAAGAGGTGGGATCAGGTGCCATGGAGGAGTGAGCATCCCCTGCCGACCGGTCACACCCGCCGTGCTTCTTGTCATGATCGGGAAATAACGGAAAAATCAATTCAGTGCGTAAATAATGGCCATACGTATGAAAAACGTCAGTCAGCAAATAAAGTCTTAAAACGGAATTTCTAGGAATTTTTTGTCAATTTATTTCGAGTTTGGTGAGATAGACGACCCTGCGTATGAATGAAAATAACATTTGTTTATTGATAAAACGTCGTTGATATTCGTTAATATATACGTTGATATACTTTATGTCTAATTGAATAAAATGAATTACAAGTAATAAGATTTTTTTTTTATAAATATTTAATACATCTAATAACTTGGATCCTGTTGAATTGAGATCCTAAACTGTATGGGGGCTCATGATTGAAACAAACTTGACATTTTGTTACATTTGGATTCCTTCCATGTCTTTTTACTACAGAATTGTCGCGAAGCTGATTTTTGACAAAACTATTTCTTACAATTAAATTTCCCCTACTTATTATACTAGACATATGACTGAAATAATTACAATCTAATGTGATCTACTCCCTGCACCTTGGACTATGATGTAAAAAGGTGAAGATATCGAACAGTGAATAATCTCATAAATCCAGTAAACAAAACCAATCGTGAATAGCGCAAACCAGAAACACCAACAGTGGGATCAGTTGCCTAGGAGGAGTAAGCTTTCCCTGTCGACCCTTCACGTCCGCATTGAGTCCAATGTATTGATCATGTACATACATTTGTGTAATACAAAATCAAATTTAGTATAAAAGCAATGACCTAATAAGTGGTATTAAACACGTTAGTGAAAATACGACCCAACGATAGGTTGTATTTACAAACAAGATCGTAGAATTTGCGATAAGCTGACTTTAAAGGGCTGTTGAAACCCTTTTAACATCAATTGAATTTTCGATAGCTTGCCTCGGTTTAAAAATTGATCGTACTGAGAGCATCCTCTTGTGTATCGAATCAGTTGGAGGCATAAACACCCTATGCAGGTGATAGCGGAATATTACAAAAAATAAGGAAAATTGACAATGGAAGAGCTGAAGTAATCCCGTTTGTCATACAGTTTAGTTATGAGTAGGCTATTATCATTTATAGTCAGCTAATATCCAAATATGAGACAGTTGTGGCAGACTCTGTATGAAGGACACCAGGCTATATACTACGTCTATCAATATATAATCTTCGAAAAGTTTAGATAATTTTTTCAAATCTAAATCTCCTTAACTCAAGATGCTCTGTGACAAGTTAAATTCAGAATTGGCTTATAAACTGAAAAAATAGAAAGTTAAAAACAAAAGACTTCAGATAGATAAACAAAACATTGGGCAGATTTTAACCAGAAAAGCTTACTCGAGCTTTTAGCTAGTGTCAGCTTAGTAGGGTTATTAATATATAAATTTTGCATTTATTGGCAAATTCATTATTTTCTGGTTATTGTTTCCGGTTAAAAATCAATTTAATGACAAATTAATGACACAAAATAAAATTTTATACCTTTCATGGCAAGACCTTTTCATGTTTGAAGATGCACGAATTACCGTTCTGCTTGTTATCAAATTAATAATTTATTTTGATTTATCAAAAGTAGCACCATTAAACGAATGTAGCAAAAAAGAATTTTAAAGGCTTTATATTCTTGCATTAATTTTTTTTCATAAAAACAAAAACAATTTATTTTTTTTCAGGCTGTAATGGTTGGTTTCGCCAAAATTGTAGAAAAGAGGTCAAAGAAGTAAACGCCAGGTGTGAGAAGGAGAAGCAAACACTTAAAGCTGAATACAACAGACAGATTAAAAAAAAAGAAGAAGTAAACGCCAGGTGCACGAAGGAGAAGCAAACATTGAGAGTTGAAGCTAACGCTAGGTGCGATAGAGAGAAGCAGACACTAAGAGCTGATTTAAACAGACAATCGTCAAATAAGCGGAGGATACTGGCACGCCGTCTGTCCGACTGTCTGAAGAAGCCTAATTCAGGCACCTGTACCACCGATGTTCAATGTTTCTGGGATTCGATCATCAAGAAATGTATTCCCAAGGAATTGGCTTTGTAAAGAACTACAGTTTTTCAACATTGTGCACGTATTCACTTTAACTGGAAATATATTTTCTGTATCCTACCCAGTTAGCACAACAACGTTATTAAAACGTTATAAAAACGTTATGAAAATGTTATGAAAACATTTTCTAAAACGTTATTACAACGTTATTTTGTGTGGTTTTTTAAACGTTATTATAACGTTTTGCAAAAACGTTGTACTGAAATGTTTTAAAAACATTTTTAAAAACGTTTGGAAAACATTTTTAAAAACGTTTTGAGAACATTTCTTAAAACGTTTTTAAAACATTTAAAAAATCAATTTTACAACATAATAAACAATATATGTCTTATAATTTAATAAATTTAAATCCATTCATTAATGTTGTCTAAACACTGTTTTTTTTTTAACACCTGCACAATAAAATTACAGTCTTCCTTCAAATGAAATTTGTACTGTTTGAAATACGAAAAGATCACAGCATCCTTATTCCATTAGAAATCAATCTGTTATACACTTGGACTTCTCTGTGTTCTTCTGAAAAACAAAGATTAATTTGGACATAAAACTTTGACTAAATGATTACCCATTCATACTCGTACATTTCTTTTAAGTTAAACATATCCATATAATAAGGCATCTGACAACTAACTAAACATACTAGTATATAAAAATCTGATAAACACAAAGAAAGTATGCTTTGTTATACAGTTGTATTAATAAACAAAAAATTACAGGTGGTATTATATCTATATATTTCTGACAACCAACTTCAAACGTACCTTATCATATTTAATAATTCCTCCAGGAAGGTATGGATCAAACCTCTTCGTCCCACCTCTCATTAAATCGTAAGAGATTGTCTTTGATGCTTTGTAAGGCTTGTAAACAGCAGCTACTAAAATGTAATGTGAAATTCATTATCAGAAATGTAAATAAGTTAATGTATAAACATATTTAACAAAGGCATCGGAAGCAATTTAAAAGTGGGGGGGGGGGGGCTAAACCAACAAAAACGTTGGGGGGAGAGGTTAACCCGAATTTTCACTAACTCTATTACGTCTATCTTTGCAAAAAAGTTGGGGGAGGGGGCTTAGACCCCCCGGCTCCGACGCCTATGTTTAATAGTTCAATGAAAACAACACAGCATTACTAGTACTTAGATCAGTTTCCTTTTGCTGTATACATTTTCCAATGATTTATAAGTTGATATGTTAACTGAATCTTAATGCATTTTCTTAGCATTAATGGTGATAAAACTTACTCTTAATAATTCTTTAAAGGGGTGCAACCCTTTGTCCAGTCTTAGTGAACTGACCCATGGAATTTGTTTGCATCATTGTCCTGCATATCTCCGCCCTGCGTTGAAACCACTGTATTCACTTAAATGAGTGTTATATTTTATCTTGAAGAATGTGTATTTCAAAATTTGATTGCTAGCAAATATATAATCAAGCCTGAGATTGATTAATTAATTTCTCTCCTTTCCCTTCCAAAAGAAAATAGGTTTAACGTGGCATTGTATTCTGTAATACATAACTCAAATTCGGAAAAGTCTAACTAATCCCCTCTTAAGAATTATTTAACCCTGTCTTGTTAAGACCCCCTCCCACACCCATTCCTATTCCCAACTATGTTTTAATTATGTTTTGAAACCCGTCACACAATTTTAATACATGTAAATAAACCCAAGTTTTCAAACAATAAATCGCCCGCCTAATTCAAATGCCAATGAACTTTATAAACATATATATACACCTAAGTCTATAAGAATGAAAGATCTAAGATTCTAAATGCATATGTATTTAAAGCTACACTATATGATTGCTAAATATATAGGCAATGAATACTATTTAAAATTTAACATACCAAACGTTGATATTTGAAAGGTATTCCCCTATTCCTTTTCTTTGTCTTACAAGAATGCCGCCGGGTTTTTCAAAACTGTGATTCTGTTGACCTATATAGATCACATGGACATAGTTTGCAACAAGGATCGACTGCATCAGCACTGGCCATGGCATCCCGCTGTGTCACTCAATTAACTCTCGATAAACACATTATCGAAGGGGGAACTTATTTCCCATAGCACAAATAAATGACTCCACTGAATTTTTTAATTCAGGAACTTTGTTGAACAAATAAGTTTTTGGAATTTTTTTTACTCTCCTTGTTATATATAAATATTATTTACAATGGTATAAAAGAAAAATATGAACACATTTCCGGGTTGTTGTTGTTGTTTTGTTTTGTTTTTTTAAATTTTTGGGGGTCTAAATTTAATTATCACAACTCAAAATCAATCATAACTCAAACTTTGGAGCTATTTATAAGAAAACAAAAGTTTTATATATTTATATACATGTATCGTCTTGCACTAAATAATTAAAAACTTCTTATGCTTGGAGTTGGTATTTCTGTAACGTTTTTACAATGTTTTGCAAACATTTTAAGACAATGTTGTATTCATGTTGTCTCCTAACATTTGTATTTCATGAAATTTATAATAATTATTACACGAAGTATTTTTTTTAATCATGCTATTCAATTTATAGCTGCGCGATATTTTATCATTATAGAAATTAATGTTAAATGCTAAATGTTTTCTCAAAACCTCCTTGCAACAGGAAAAAAATGTTATAAAAAACATTTCTAAAATGATTGTTAAGAACGTTTTTTAATAACGTGTTTACAACCAAAATAAAACGTTTTAAAAACATTTTATAAACGTTTTATTAAAAACGTTTTCAGATAACACCAATACAACGGGAATAAAATGTTATGAAAACGTTTTGTGCTACCTGGGTATCTAGTTATAGAAATTGATAGATTGTTTATTGGTATGTGTAATATAGATATGACTAAAGTAACGAAATATTGTAAGAAAGTTCTATATGAAATTAAAAGAAATAAAATCCAGACCATCATAATACCATTTTAAATAATGTTAAAAGTGAACTAAACGAACAGTGATCAGTCTTTACAAAACGAATCATGAACAGGGCAAAAACACGAACCTCTGGAAACACCAGAGCAAAATGTTTAATTTTTTTTCTCAAAGAAAGCATTTATTGAAGACATGTGAATGATGGTCATCTTTGCAATGTTTTGTTTACCGAACAAAACGCTTATGAAACGCATTCCAGATTATTATCGGGATTTGCTCTTAACTTTTTCTCAGGGTGAAGTACAAACAAATTTTGTCAGTACAAGGGGAAGAAGAGAATTTACTCTCAATACTTCAATTTACTTAGTGATTTTATCTAAAACAAGTGTATCAATTCTGGAATAATTATGATTTAAAATTTGTCTTATCAAGAAATCACTAGTTCCATTCAAATCTTGCTAGATTAAACAATATTCCGGATTAGTCAACATTTTAAACAATTGAATTTACTGGAAGGGACTGCTTTGGAATATATTACACAACATCTGAACAATACAAATTTACTTTAATATCAATAAAAATATTTTAGATAAATAGCAATGAAAAACAGTTCTTGTTAAAGAAAAAACAAGCATACGACAAAGGTGAAATCCACAATACAGCCGTGCTCTTGATTATATAAGGACCAATGTACTCATTCGCATTTTTGAAAAATTCGAAAATAAATTTTGCTTTACTTAAAATTTAATCCCACTCTAATGTGTTTAGAGGTCCATGTTTCCTCAGCTCCCGATTTGTATTGTTTCAGTGGACTTTTTGGCTTGATTACTCTTCGTTATCTCCATTAATCATTATACCGAAACATCTATAAAGCATTTATTGGTTAATTTTGAATCATTGTATAGTATTTCCGAAATTGCTCTTGCCCCCTCCACTCAAATGCATGTAAACTGATAAAGGGCTTTGAGAATGATCATTTTAACGTATTTGATAGATAATCAACAATATTTACACTATATATATATATATATATAGAGAGAGAGAGAGAGAGAGAGAGAGAGAGAGAGAGAGAGAGAGAGAAAGTTCACTTTATAAGGATATTCACTTCCGTTCCAACCCGGGGTTAAAGTCTCGACCTGCGGAATCTGGCTCCTAACAGTGCACGAACAGCGCGCTAGACCGATCGGCTATCTAAGCAAGTCTTAAAACTTTCTTTCGATGCGGTGGACTTATCGCAGTGCTGCCCTTCAACACACGGTCATTGAGAATGGAAGTGAGATACAGCTACTGGGGGACTGGTTTTATTAGAGGATCGTTACACATAAACATTGCAATGAAACTAAGCTGCATTATAAAGAAAAATTAATGTAGAAATCACAGAGAAATTTACTTTATAATGGGAATTCCATTCGATTGTTGGAAGATATGGTTACCAAAGAATACATAGACATTGTAAATGAGAAATTCAAGCATATTTTAGAGTTATCTTGGAGTAAATGTGTGTAATATCAGAATTTTTTTTAGCAAAATAAGTTGCAGAAGACTAGTGAGAACTGATCAAAATTACGAGTTCCATTTTTATTGAGGAAACGGTTGTCTGTGATGTTAAAAAGCTTTCTCTTTAAATTATTTGTGGAGTGGTTGTATAATGTGTTTTGACAAAATGATTTCAAATTATCAAAAAATTAATCGGAGTTTTTAAGTATCCACATTTGATTAACACAATTCTTGAATATGTTGTTGCACTTCAAGTTTCGCCTTCACTGTTTTTAATATTTTCCAGAGGAGTACAGAAGGAGGAATATCAAATTCATCCATCAGACCTGGTGTTCCTTTTAATATGCCCTTAGTATGGATTATGACATTCTACGTATGCGCAAAAAACCAGCTTCAGTGAACTTGTGAAAGTACACTGGAAAACATAAAAGAGGCTTGGAAGATCATTTACTATAACCCGCTGTATATATTTGTCTGTAAGGACTTTTATGAAGTTTTGGAATCCTGTATATAAGGCAATTCGAATTCAGATTGCATGGTTCTTTTGAAGAATTTCTTCCTGAGAAAGGGGACTATGAGTATAAATTGGATTACCACCAACCCAAGTCCCTCTTAAATGCTTTTGTAATAATGAGCCT